TTTATAAACAAATCACCTGATTTAAGGGTAGTTTTAGTTTTGGGTTTGGTTTTTTTTTTTCAATTCAAAAAAGGAATCTAAAAATATCTTCTCTTCTAATTCATCTCTGCGTCACTCAAAAATTGTTATTCACACACACACACACACACACACACACACACACTCCCGCCTCTTCCTTATCCCAAGCTACTTCTGCTAAAATGAATCATAAGTCTTTGGCAGTGTAATGAAAAAGCTTAATATAGTCAAATCTTGATAATTTTTTTTAAATGGCACTGACATGCTTCTTTTGCAAACAGTATTGCAATTCTGGTTTGAAACTCAAGACACCATAACATCTTTGAAACTAAGTACTTCAATGGTCAATATGAAATGTATTTTATTTAGGCACTAAGTAGGCATAATCTAACCCAGCATCAGCAGAGAGCCAGTCCCTGGGTCTGATGAAATCCTTTGTACTATTCCATTCCTCCATCCTTTTTATCTATTCATTTATTCATTTTATTTCTGTCTCAAAAGCCATATGCCAGACCCAGTAGTATACAGAAAGATCATTAGCTCAAAATTGTTCTGCTATTAACTAGCTCTATAACCTTGACTAAGTCATTAACTTGACTAAACTTTGTGACTTATAGATTGTTGTTGTTAGGTACTTTATATATATAGTTTTTGTTATTATTATTTCATTTCAATGAACATCTACAGAAATTTTGGAATTCCATTCATTCATTGTTGCACTTTTCTCCCCATGTTAGGCACTTTTGGGTCAAGTGACTGCTCGCAACATAATGAACAACAGACATAAACCCTGTCCTGTCCTGTACAGACCTCACAAACTCTGACACACTCAAGCACTTTGCTACTGTGTCAATCCACCTGATTGAGGGTCTTCCTCTCCTTCACCATCCCTCACCTACCCAAGCATGATGTCCTTCTCCAAGGAATAGCCTTTCACAGCAACATGCCCAAAGTATGTAAGACAAAACTTCACCATCCTTGCCTCCAAGGAGCACTCTGGCTATACTTTCCAAGACATAGATCTGTTAGTTCTTTGGGCAGTCCATGTGATATTTTATACTCTCCTCCAACACTAGAGTTCAAGTGTAAAGGCATTAATTTTTCTTCTGCTATCCTTATTATCTAACTCTCAGTAGCATAGCAAGTGATTGAAAAGACCATTGCCTGAATTAGACACACCTTAGTCCTCAAACTAACATTGTTGCTCTATAGTAATTTGGAGAGGTTCCTAACTGCAGACTTTCCCAATGTAATATGTCTCCTGATTTCCTTCCTGACTGCTGGTGCCAAGTATATTGATTGTGGATCCAAGTTAGATGAAGTCATTGACAGTTTCAATCTTTTCTCCACCTATCATAATGTCATCTATCAGTTCAGCAGTGAGAACTTTTGGTTTTCTGACATTGAGATGCAATCCATATTGACTTATAGATAGATTTCCATTTTAACAGAAGCCGTTTCAGAGGGGTAAAATCATTCAGAACAACAAAGAAGACAGAGTAACTTGGAAGGGATTTTTTTTTTAGTGGTTGTCTCATTTAAATGACCATATGATCTCCAAGAGCTCTTCTAGTTGTTAAGTTTTATTTCTAACGTGCCCCTAGCTTTGTTCATCTCGTTGCATTGAGTCAATCCCTACACACAGTGATGCCATAGAGAGTTTTCAAGGCTATAACCTTTCTGGAAGATCACCAGATTTGTCTTTCAAGACACCTTGGAATGGAGTTGAACTATGAATGTTTTGAGTAGTACTCAAAACATTTCCACCACCTGGTGAATCTCACAGCTATCTTTTACCTTACGGTAATTGAGTTTAGCATTTTAGAATTCAAATGAATGAAAAGTAAATGTTGTTAGTAGTTTATAAATGAATAAAGAATATTTTTTAAAAATCATTGAGAAGCTATTTCTACTACAACTGTTTTTAGGGTAATCCTTAGGCAAGTTACCTCAAAAGGTGGATAAGAGTTGAGGCAAGGGAAGATGCTTTCAGGGTAATATCAGTGTCTATTTTCTCCAAAAAAGTCAAGTTTTTTTATAAAGAAAGGATTTCCATTTCCTTACTATAATCTGTAGCTCTTCCTTCTTCCTTTTTAAATTCTTTAGGACCTAGCATCTCTCACAGTTTTTTAATGAAATTATCGAGTTGCTATGCTATTTTCTTGTATAAAGTTGTCATAGCAATTATAAACCATGATTGGTGACTTACTTACAGTAAATTATTAACATGGTTGTGAGATATTGCCTACTTGTCTAACAAGTCAAACTCTGTTCTCTCTCCATGGCTCATGTTTCATGTTGTCATAGGAGAAAATGAACTAACGCAAATTCTTATTAGAGGCACATACTCATGTGTGCCCCTATTATGGGTGTGAACATCATAAAAATGACCATTTCTAACAAAAAATTAACTCAATAATTTATGGTTGAGGGCTCAGCTGAACACCAAAATACACAAACTAGATTGATTCTTTTTTTAAAACCTTTTTTTTAGTGACACTTTATTTTATTTTAGGTGTTGTGTGCTGACAAGTCAGATCCGATTGGCACAAGAGGAGACTTCCCATCCTTGAAGAAGAGCTTCTGGTGGATTCAAACTTTGCACCTTCAGGTTTACAGTGCAGCCTCTTGCCGCTAGGCCACCAGAGCTCCTTTAGAGTTGGTTCTTTAAATAACTATTTAAAAATTCATGGCTGTTGAATAAATTCTAACTCATTGAGTCCCTGAAGGACAAAGAGTTACAGCTCCGTAGGGTTTCTGGTGTGCTGAGCTGCTAAACAAAAAGTTGGCAGTTCAAACCCACCAGTCATTCCATTAGAAAACAAGGTATTCTTCTGCAAATATTGGTGTCTTAGAAACCCAGTGAAGAGCTGCCACCACTCTGGACACACTCAATGGCAATGGGTTTAATCTTTAGGAAAGCAGATTGCTACATCTTTCTTCTGCCAAGTGACTGCTAATCTTCCCTTGAACTTCACCATTGGAGTTACAGTTCCAATTAATCTTCTTTCCACCCTTATCTTGGATTGCCAGTCCTTGATTTTCATGTCACGTCATCACTGTCAAGTCTTCTCCACTCTATCCATCCCTGATTTCTAGAAAAGTTCTTTTCTGCTTGAACTTTTATTTTGCATCTGTGCTGCCTATAATCACCACACTCCCAAGCCAAATAAATGAGTCATGGATCCTGGTCCTAGTTTTTCTTTGGCTGATGTAAGTCCACTTGTCTGGCTTTTGTGTGCCACACAAAAGCACACAGCCTGTAGGGTAGAAGAAGATTGAAATTCAACCCACATTGCATTAACCTGGCTGAGGGCCTGTGAGTCTGCGTCTCTCCAGCTAGGTCACCTTTATTTTGTCATTTTTTTTCTAATTTAAAGATCATCTAAGGAAACGACAACTCTGGCTGTAGCACAGACCCCAGTCAAGTCTAATCATTTAAGCATCTAGGACGCTCTTTCTTTCAAATATGAGGGATTTGACTGAGTAGACTCTAAACATCCACAGTCTAGACTCTAAGAGTCTATACTGTTCTCTTTTCTTCTTTTCTATTTGTCCCCTCCTTTAGGACTTTGTGGCCTATCCCTCCATTTATTTCTTCTTCTCCAGTTGTTTTTTTTTTTTTAATTGTGATTTCAGTAAATGTTTATGGGGCAAATTGATTTTCTGTTCAACAATTCATACACACTTCATCCTATCACATTGATTGCAATTGCCACTCCATTCCTGTGATTCTCATTCCCTTTCATCCTTCTGTCCTTTCCCTTGAAACCTTCAGGGTTTTGCCTTGGTGGGAGGACACTTCCCTTTTGATCTCATGTACCTGATTGTTCTAAGAAGTAGGTGCTTCCTTGGTTCACCTTGTAGACGTGTCTATTGTCTGGTTGAAAGCTGAGTTATGGAGTGATTTCAATTCCAAACTTGAAGGGTGAATAAGGGCCATAGTTCCAGGGATTCTGCTAGTCTCTATGAGACCAGTAAGCCTGGTAATTTTTAGAATTTTGAGGGTTCTTCCCCCTCACATTCTTCTAGGATCATCTCTTATGATCCCTTTTAGAGTAGTCAGAGTGATAGCCTGACACCATCTAGTTCTTCACATCTCAGGGTGTGGGAGTTGAGGTTCAAGAGGTCCATTCATCCTTTAGACTAATTGTTTCTGTTCATTTTTTAATTTTCTTCATTCTTCTTTGCTCTGGACAAGGGGACACCAATGGCTAGAGGAGCCTCAGATGGCCAAGTGAGTCATCCCACCAAAGTGTACCATTGACTGTGACTCAGAGTGACCCTATGAACAACACTGGGTCGATCCATCTGTTTGAGGATCTTCTCCTTCTGTGATCATACACCCCTCCAAGCATGTTGTTTCCCTGGTTGCAATTCCTCCAATACCAATTTGTTTGTTATAAGAGGTATGACAAATCTGGACGAGTACACATTTATCTCAAGAAATATTGATGGAGTTTAAAAACAAAAGAGAAAAGCAGAAGACCGAAGAGAGCCACCCACCAGCGAAACCTATTAGTATTTCTATTAGTTTCTCCCTAAACTTATAGATTACTTTTGGGGAGTTAGAGAGCTCTGTCGGCATGGTCTGTAGAGAGTTGCACTAACACAAAGGCAGTGCCTCTCTTGGTGTGAATCTACCAGAGAATCTGTAGGAGAAAGATGGGAAATCGCCTCCCATGCAATTTACAGGTTCTGAAAACTCAGTGGAGGGTCAGATATGAGTCAGTTCCAACTCAACCACAATACAATCATTCGCTCCTGGTTATGCTGTTTATAATATTATTCAATATTGAAACATTTCTGAAATAGTTTTTGTAATAAGAATAAAATAAGTGGGTTTGGGAGGTTTTGGCATGAGGAAAGAGAATAATAGTGCTGAATAAAAGAGAATCATTGTTGTTGTTATTGTTGTTGTTGTTAGGTGCTATTATGTTTGCTACAATTCCATGCCCTCTGAGCAACAATTTGAGCCTTACCCTATCTGGCACCATCTTCATCATCTCTGATATACTGGTGCCTGTTATTTCAGTCATGGTGTCAATCCATCTCTTTGAAGCCTTTCTCTTCATCTTTCTGTTTCATCTCTTCCCAACATGCCCATTCTTGCCTCTAAGGAGCACTCTGGTTGCACTTGTTTGCTCTTTTGGCAGTCTGTGAGATATTCCGTATTCTTCTCCAACATCACAAAAAAGAGTGTATTCTATTTATTCAGTAAATAGAAACAAAAATGTAAAGCAGCCTATTGTTATGAATTGAATTTTGTCTCCTGCAAACATACATATAGGAAGATATAATATGGATGCTGTGGAAGATCTTCCATGATCTGATAAACCAATTGTAAAACAATTAAGATTGTAATACAATACTATTTCATCCCATGACAGTTCTAATCAGATATAAGCAGTTCCGTAAGGCTGTGGCTTGTAACAGCTTTTATGTCACTGGAGATAACGGGAAGAAGGTGAACCAAGAAAGGGAGACCTCAGTACCACCAAGGAAGATTTGCCAGGAGTGGAGTGTGTCCTTTTGGACTGAGAACTCTATGTGAGGAAGCTCTTTGGCACTGAAGAATGTCAAGGTACATCAACCTCTCCAAAGCCCACCAGGCCTTCCCTTGCATTTGGCACCCTAACTTTGAACTTCTAGCCTTCTCAGCAGTAAAAGGATAAATTTGTTTGTTAAAGCCATCAATTTGTTGCATCTCTATTATGACAAAACTAGGTAACTAAGACACTTATAATGATTGAGAGCAGGTCAGTTGTATCCTAGGGATGGGGAATGAGATGAAAAAGTGTGGGAAAACATTTTAGCGTTGTTTCCTAATTAGCAAAAGATTATAATCAAGTATTATGATTTTTAAAAAATACTGGTTTATTTAAAAGTTCTTATACATTGTTTTCACACCCAGTCTTTCCCATTTGCTTCACCTCCCCACAAACTGTGCAAGTCTATGATTAACCACCCTCCACCCCTCACCCATCCTCACTCCTCTGCTTCGCCCCACACACAAATATTATGATTTTTTTTATCTTATTCAAAGCTCATAGAGTTTATACTTTTGCTGTAATAATAAACATATGCTTACATTATCACTTTGCAGCTAAAGTAAGTTTAAACTCAAGATCACTAAGCAAAATAAGAAATGGTTCTTCATGTGTAATCATTCTAATTGAAAATCCATTTCCACAGGAAAGGACAATGGAAGCCCAGCGCAGAGATTCAAATGGGCTTTAGGGCTTCCAACGTCACTTCTTTCTCCAGGGACTTCATATCTTCATTCTTTGAAGTGGGCACATAACATAACCATACTTTTTCTCAATCTTTGGTGAAATTCTACATAAATACGGCTTGGGGATACACCCCCCTGTATATGTTAGATATAAAAAAGAGCACAAGGGCGCAAGGGAGAGAAATAAAGGAACTGGTCCCAAGAAATGAGCAAGCCTTTATTGCACGGTCTGAAAGGGACACCAAGTGACCCGGCCATTTGGCATGTGGACAGGGTCAAAATGGTGCGCCGGCAGTTTGGGGGGGTTCCTTTTTATAGGGGTCCTGGGGAGGACTAAGATGGGACTTCTCGAAATTTGGCGCTTTAATTAAGTTAGGTTTTAGCTTTTCTAATCAAGCTCAGACTCTTATCAGGATCCATTGTCTGGTCTGGTCTTTGATGTGACCAGCTTAGGTGTTACCAAGTTTCTCAGGAAGTGATCAAACTTGGTGGGGGTGGGGCAACTGCCATATTCTTCCTTCAGTATCCACCTCCAAATGATGCCTACCTTTGAGTTCTTCCCGCATCCAACTGTTATCCACGACTGGGAAAGGACATCCTCTTTTGACGATCCTACCTGCAACCTGGAAGCCATTTTGCTCATTTTTATACCTTTGGTTGGCACTGATAATGGTACTGAGTTTTATAGGACATTTTGCTTTCTTCCCCCCCCCCGTTTTTATTTTATTTATTTTTTATTATTTTGATGGGCTTTCCCCCCAATTTTCTGTCCCCCTCTATTTAGAATCCTCTATTCTGATCCCTTTCAAAGTGATCAGCAATGGTAGGTTGGCACAAAGGAACGTGTTCTACCTTTTTGTATGTAAACCAGTAACAATTAACACAGACAAAAAAGAGAGAGAATTACTTGAAACATCGTGAATTAACACATTAACTGTGACACCCAGTCAAACATTCCAAATATTGTGAGGATAGCACAAGAAAAGTCAAGGTTCAGATTTGTTTTACAAGGTTGCTGGGAGTTGTAGTCAATTTGCCGAAACCCAACATCTGTATCAAAATTTTTCCCTAAAGGAATGAAAGGAAAACCTACAAACTGAGAAAAGTAATCAGGAAGGACACAGCTGACAAGGTTATAATCCCTAAATTTTCTAGAAAATACTAACACCCCACCAAGAAAAAACAAACATCCCAATTATAAAAAAGGACAATGATTTGAAAAAACTCTTCACCAAAGAAGACTTCAGATGAGATGACCAATAAATATATTTTTAAAAGTTCCTCAAGATCATTAACTACTGTAGTTGTTTTTGCAATGTGCCATCAAGATGCCTGTAACACTTAGTGACCCTATGTATAATAGCTCTGAAATCTGTTCTATTCTGAGCCAATCTCACTACCTTTGACACACCTTCCTCCACCCCTTTGCCCCATTACTGTGTCAATCCATTTCTTCTTCTCCTGTGCTGTTCCTTCACCCTTCCAAGTATAGTGTCTTTCTCCAAAGACTGTTCCCTCCTGGCCACGTGCCTAAAGTATGTGAGATAGAGCTCCAAAATCCTTGCTTCTAAGGAGCAGCCTAATTTCACCATCTCCGGGATAAATGTATTTGTTCTCTTAGCCGTCCATGATATATTCAATACTCTTCTCCAGCACCACAAATCAAAGGCATCAATTCTTCTTCTGTCATCTTTGTTCATTGTCCAGCTCTCTGATGCACAGCAAGTAGTTGCAAAGACCATGTCCTGTATCAGACGTACCTTAATCTCTAGAATAACAGTGTTGCTTTTTAGCACTTTTGGAAGGTCCTTGACAGCAGCCTTCACCAGAGCAATTTGTCTTTTCATTTCTTAACTTTTGGTGTCAAGAATATTTATTGTGAAGTTGAGCAAACTGAAATTATTAACAACCTCAATCTTTTCTCCATCTGTCATAGTGCTGCCAATTGGGCTAATAGTGAGAATCTTAAGTCTTCTTGGTGTTAGGCTTCAGTCTATAGCAAAGACTGCAGTTCTTGACCTTCTGGAGCGAACATTCTAGGTTTTTTTCAATTTTGTGAGCAATGTTGTGTCATTTGCATAATGCAATTTGTTCATAAGTCCTCCTCCAGTCCTGATCCACATTTCTCTTCATAAAGTCCAGCCTCCATAATGGCCTGTTCCGCATATAGGCAGAAAAGCATGGAGACAGGACACATTCCTGATGTGCTTCTTTCCCGAGACATTTTGCTTTCGATTGTCTACAACTCATAGTGACTCTATCAGCAATCAAAGCTTTGCCTTATTCTGTGCCCTCCCTTTACAATCTCTGCCATGCTTAAGCTCGACATTGCAGTCACTGAGCCAGCCCACGTCCTTGAAGGTTTTCCTCTTTTGTGGATTGCTTCTAATTGCTGTCATTATTGTTGTTTGCCATGGAGTTGGAACCGACTCATAATTGACCCTCTCGTGGATTTTCAGAAGCAGTTAATCACAGGAGAGGAAGAGATAGTTTATCTTTCTCCTGTGGATCAACTGGTGCATTCGAGTTACATTCCTTTGGGTTGGCAGCACAACTCCTTACCACTAAGCCACCATGTGCTGGTGGTCGAGTAGGTGGCCAAAACCAAAGGCAACTGGTTCAAATCCACCCACTGCTCCGTGGGAGAAAGATGAGCAAACTCTTCCAGTGAAATTTATAGCCTCTGAAAATCTTCTGGAGGGTCAGCTGTGAATCAATTCTAATGGCAATGAGTTAGTTAAACTCCACAAAACAGAGGAACGCCATGAGCCCTTAGCCCGCATAGATCATTCTGTCTGTCAGGAGACTGTCCTAATTCCGCTCAACAGCTTTGCCTCTCAGATGTTTACTCTTTCACATAACAGCAAGGATTAGGGAATGACTAAGGGATAAAAGCTGCTTTGAAGCCAAGTATATTGTTCTCTTCCAGGAAGCTTTCTTGTGTCTCCCTTTCAAGCCACATGATTTAGTTTCCCAAAGGGGGCTTATGTTCTATTATGCTCTGATAGCACCCAGATTCTACAGATAAACTAATTTGCAATGTGGTCCACTCCTGTAAATCAGGCCAACTGAGTTGTTTTTTAAACCTCCCTTTTTGAGGCGGCAAGGTAACTAGTTCATTTAATAATATAAAAGCTCTGCAAGGTGATGTGTTTCTTCAGGTTCAATAAAACATTGTTTTAATACAAGAATGAGAGTTTGCAGTACCTATTGGAGCACGAAGTCCATGTGTATAACCTGCATTTGTGTCTCTTATAAAATGTATTTGCAATGAATAAGTCATTGATTTTACAAAATTCAATCATTCTATCTCCAGCCTCATTCCTGTCACCAAGCCCATG